GTTTGCTTTCATGATGAATTTTGACCCTCTGTATAAATCACATGGTGATAATTCCTGAGACTGTTAAGTGTTCCATTATTTATACCTAGCATCATCATATTGATTATAGCACTTACATAACTTCTGTTCTTTGTTTTTATAAACCACAAGTCAAGAAACATACTTGAGAACATATGTGATTATCTCCTCAGGATAAACTCCTTAAAGAAAATATTTGTGTCACAATGTAAGCACATTTCATTTGTGGAGACATTTTTCAAAAGCACCCTTTAGAAATTATATACCAGGAGTGCTTGGGTGGCTCAGTCAGTTAAGTGTCTGCCTTCAGCTCAGGTTATGATCTCAGGGTCCTGGGATTGAGCCCCACATCAGGCTCCTTGCTCAGTGGGAGCCTGCTTCTCCCCTCCCTCGGCACCTAACCCTGTTCCTGCGCTCTCTTTCTCTCAAATAAATAAAGTCTTTAAAAAACAATTGTATCCCAGTGTTTACTCCCATCAACCTTTATGATGGTGAGTTTTCCCCAAACCTCTGATGGACACTCTCATGCTTTACTTTCATCTTTGCCAAGTTCATAGATTCTAAGTTTTATTCCCATTACTTATCCCACAATCTCATGCTTGTTTATGTTTACTTATTACCAGTACAATTTGATTGACATTTAATTTCCTCCTTTCCAAGTTGTTTTTTAACATTTCAAAATTCTTTTTTTATTATTTGAGTGCATTTGATACACAATGTTACCCTCCTTTAAGGTGTTCAACATAGTGATTCTCCATATAATCCAGCAATTCCACTCTTGGGTATTTGTCCAAAGAAAATGGAAACACCAATTCTAAAATTATGTGTTGAATCAGTTGTAGCTATTTTAAAATATGAAATTTAACAAAGAATAAACAGCTGTCCCCAACATCAGGCGCTGGTCTGACACTGACCGCTGGACTCAGTGTGGTTAGAAGCTGGTGAATGTCCACCATTTGGCCATATTCTTCTCCTGTGGGACATGAGCCTCACAGAACATCAGCATCAGACAAGGACACTCTGAAACCATGACATCACTTTGTGTCAATACAGACAAAAATAAGGCACCGCATAACCCACAAAGTAACACGCATCTCCCTGTGTCAGCCAATGTGAGCAATCGCTGCTTCTCCACCATGACTGCTCTCTCCTCGCTCTGGTCTGGCCTGCTGGAGAGCGGACTCACTGAGATGCTCAACCATAGGATTGCCCACACGTCCTGACAACACACAGTCGGGAGTGGGCCCCACTTCCATGGAACCTCTCCAAAACTCCCATCCAAAGCCCATGTCCCATAGATTCCAACACCTTCATATTAAGATGTCCTGTGGCCCCCAAAGGGGTGCATTCTCTTTCACTGCAACAGGTGATAGATCCAACTTGGATGCCCACAGGTGCTCCTGGTGGTCTTGGGCTGAAGAGCATTGAACCATGTTACCCTTTTGTGTGTCACAATTGTTTTTCTGTTTTTTACTTTGATCATGGACATGTGTTTGTATTTTTGTGAGTGTGTGGATCACATGCCGAAATTTCATGTTCTTCTTTATGGGTTTTCATCATTAGGTCATGCTTAGAGAATTCTTCATCCCACCCTTGTAAACATTTCATATATATTTTCCCTCAGTGGAAATGAAGAGCAGGGTTTCAGAGGACAAGGGAAACACAGAGAATTATCTGAATTTGGGCAAAAATATAGGGAGGAGAACACATAAAGTTTCTAAGATGGTGGAATCTAAGATGTCCATCTTCTGCTTTATGATTTTTACAAGTACGTACAGAGCCTACGAGGTATCTGATATATGTATGTTCAATAAATCCTCTCATTTGGGCTCAATGAAGACTTATGTGCTTTCTTATGTTTACCAGCTGAATGCAAACAACACCAAGAAGACAGCCAAAGTAATAGAGACATCAATTAGCTCCAGTAATGGGTATTTTTCAACACTATGACCTAGACATCATATATCATGCTTTGGCTAATGTTCATACACTTTAGCTGTTATAATGCAAATTAATTAAACTTTCATGCTTCATTTTAAGCATATGTCTCAGACCCACATAGACAAATTCATAACTTCCATTTAAAGGTAAATTTAATACACATACACCTATGAGTCACACAGTCTCTTCTTTGAGGAGGATCCTGATAACTAAGAGCATTCTAGATATGTACTGTCTGAACAGGAGTTATGAGTCATCTGTGGCTACTTAAATTCCTACTAATTTAAAACAATTAAAAATGCAACTGCTCAGCACACCAGCCACATTTCAAGTGCCACTTGCATCTCAGGAACCACCTGCATCTCGTGGCCACCATACTGGACAGCGCAGATACAGAACAATTCCTTCTGCACAGACTGTTGCACTGGAAGGTGCTGTGCTTCATGCTTTGTGGGTCTGGAGTCAGATGCGTGAGACACATGTAAACTGAGAAGACCAACATGATTTCTCTTACAGACGACATCAGATTTCTGTCTGGGAGGAATACACGTGAAGCTGATGCATCACAAAATCAAAGTTGCTTATATGAGTCTGATACCTTCAGGGGCAAACTGTTTCCAGTTACAAAAGGGAAATCCCTGTCCCTCCACCTCCCTTCCCAGACTGGGGACCCTCTCTGCCAGCACATTTCCAGGAGGTGAGGTCTCTTCTAGATGCACTCAGGGGCTCAAGTCAGAGATGGGTTTTCAGAGGCAGGAAGTGCAGCTCAGGGAAAGGGATTCTGCTGAGTGAGGAGGAGGCCAGGGCAGGACCAGCAGGAGACTCTCCCAGGGTTATTCAGAGCAGCTGTTCTCAAAGTGTGTTCTGCGGAGCAGCCGATGTCACCGAGGCCCTTTGCAGAATCCACGAGGTTAAACTATTTTCATAACATCACTTAGACATTATTTATGGTTTCACCATATTGACATTCACACTGAGGTAAAACTTAGCAAGAATGGAGGTGATGGGTGTGAACAGCAATAGCTGTTATTCTTCACCACTACTTACATAAAAAAACAGAAGCACTCTTTCTGCCTTCTTTCTGATCCACCATAACAGTCACATGAATACCTTGGCAGATCCTCAATGCTGGAAAGAGAGGCAAAAGGCAGGTCTTATCAGGCCATGCTCCAAAGTCATGTCCCATTTCTAACTGTGATGATGAAGCACGGTTACACTGAAGAATTTGAAATCACTGCTTATTACCTAACTGGGAACATTGCTGTGGACCTCATGGGCAGCTTAAACATGTGTGGAGTGGTCAGCCCCAGATTTGGTGTACAATTCAAAGATCTACCAAAATTGGCAGAAAATTCTGATCCCAACCCTCCAGTTTGGTTCCGTTGTCCTGACAACGTCAGCTGGCACCATAGACCGTGAAGGAGCAAGATGAAAACACACACAAGGGAAAATCCTGGGATTCTTTTTCTAGGGATGTAATACCTACGTGCCAATAAAATGCCTCCAAACCATAAAACAGAACAAAAGAAAACTAGTCACACTTTAAAATGTCCTTGTTAAGGTATTCAAGATTATTATATCTATTAATTATTCTCAAATCCACATATTAAACATGTCTTATATGATGACGTGGGATGTGTAGCATAAGCTCCAAGGAAAATAATTTGTGTGAAATTACCTGGCCTCCTTTTTTTTTTTTTTTTTTTTTAACAGAATGCCATTTTTACCTGAAGGAATGAATGACACAGAAACTTGGATTATTTACACTAGGATAGTTGGCCAACAGTTTCTGGAAAATGAACAGGAACCTACCCTTTCATGAAAATCAACTCACATATAACAGCAGATAGTACTTGTTGCATCAATCAAACATAAGCTTTGAAGAGAAAATCAGAATTTTGGAAAACTCGTGATCCACCAATAAACTTGATAGCTTCTCACTACTGATAAACTTTCCTGTTGGGATCTGCAGTAATGGTAAAACAAATACGACTTTTTGATAACTCCATTCTAGTCTAATCAATACAGGAAGCCCTAGATAACTTAGTAAAACAACAATTACTTTAAAAACAATCATGCTTCAAAGAAAAAAATGAATAAATAAACAAACAATTATGCATTAGTACAAGATCTGTTCAGTGTGCAAGATGGGCCCATGGGTTTTAATGTAACAGAGAAGAACAGAGTCGATGATACTGTTTCAGGTTCCACTTTGCAAATAACCTTAGAGAAGGTACAACCCGTGTAGTCTGAATATAGTATCTAAGATGACTATCTGTAATTATCTGAGAAAGTTATGAAACATAGTATTCTCCCCTGTTTGTGCAAGTTTTGTAAATTTTTTTCATATACTTCAGCCAAAACAACACAGTAAATGCAGAAACAAATCTGAACATCCAGGGGTTTTCTAAGGAGACAGACAAGAAAGAAACTTGCACAATTTAAAATGCAACAACATCACTCTTCTCACCATGCTGCTTATTTGCGGATATAGTTATTTTTCATAAAAATAATATTTCTGTTTTCATGCTATGGGTTAATATGATTCTAAGTGAATTAATAAATCTTTTAATCTGTTATCTTACTAGGTAAATATTGATAGAGATAACCCACAGACACAAGATTATCCTTGGGATCCTCAGTCATCTGTGAGACTGTATAGATACCCTGTGAACAAAACTTCTGAGAATCACTGACACACATAGGTCCTGGGCCACGACTCAGGGACAGTGTGACAAAGAGAGCTCTGTGCCATATGTGACGCGTCGCGGCAAAGTCCCTGGACCCTGGGCCTGCCTCTTAGGCTCTCTGGCCCCAGGGCTGTGACTGGAGAAGAGAAGTCCTGTGTTGGGGAGTCCCCATTTTCCCAGGTTTCACTTCTCGCTCTCACACCTGTGTCAGGTCCTCCTGCCTGGATACTCATGACGCAGCCCTAGCTCGCCCTCCCCTTGGGTGTCAGGTTTCTGGAGTGACCAATCAGCGGCACTTCAGTTCCCGGTTATAAAGTCTCCGCATCCGCCACCTAACCCAGCTGCGACTCAGCCGTTTGACCAGACCCCGGAAATGCACGTCGTGATGCCCCAAACCGTCCTTCTGCTGCTGTCAGGGGTCCTGGCCGTGACCGAGACCTGGGCGGGTGAGTGCGGGGCGGGAGGAAAGGGCCTCTGCGGAGCGGGAGCGAGGGGACCGCCGGGAGGGGACGCGGGACCCCCGGGGAAGGCGCCTCTCCTCCGCCCCCGCCCCAGACCCCAGCCGCCCCGGCCCCACCCCAGCCTGTGCTCCCCCGTTCCTCCACGCCTGTGCCCTGCTTTTTCCCACTCGGTGCCCCCTTCCCCTGCCCTCCCTGCCGCCTCCACCTGGTCCTCAACCCCGCGCCGGGAGGAGGGTCGGGCGGGGTCTCAGCCCCTCCGCACCCGCAGGCTCCCACTCCCTGAGGTATTTCTACACCTTCGTGTCGCGACCCCGACGCTTCATCGCCCTCGGCTACGTGGACGACACGCAGTTCGTGCGGTTTGACAGCCGCGCTGGGAGTGGGAGGATGGAGCCAAGGGCACCGTGGGTGGAGCAGGAGGGGCCGGAGTATTGGGACGAGGAGACCCGAATCGCCAAGCACAATGCATGGTATTACCGAGTGAGCCTGAACAACCTGCGGGACCACTACAACCAGAGCGATGCCGGTGAGTGACAGGGCCCGGGTCCAGGTCACGAACCCCATCCCCACCGACCGGCCAGGATCTCCCCGAGTGTCCTGATGAGAGCATCACCCGAGTTTGAGGAAACTCCCGTCCCCAGATCCCCAAACTGGGAGGAACCCGAGGGAACTTTTGGGGGGTTTTACTTTCCATTTGGACTCAACCCCCTGCCTGTCCGGCGGGACCAGAGTCTCACACCATCCAGCGCATGTACGGCTGTGACGTGGGGTCCTACGGGCGCCTCCTCCGCGGGTACAGTCAGTTCGCCTACGACGGCGCGGATTACATCGCCCTGAACGAGGACCTGCGCTCCTGGACCGCGGCGGACACGGCGGCGCAGATCTCCCGGCGCAAGTCGGAGGTCGAAGGTTACACTGAGCATGACCGGAACTACCAGGAGGTCACGTGCGTGGAGTGGCCCCGCAGGTACCTGGAGAACGGGAAGGAGATGCTGCTCCACGCAGGTACGAGGGCCGCGGGGCCTCCCTGATCTCCCCTCCCCGGGGCTGGCTTCCCACCAGGAAGGGAAAATGGACTCAAGCCAGAACACCGCCCTCGCACAGGTGGGGAGAGGGAGGTCCGCCTGGGTGTCCAGGTTCCTACTAGAGAGTGACTCAGCCAGAGGGCCGCTTTTCTCTAAGGACAACTGAGGAATCCAGTCTCTCCCGGGAGGCAGGTGGGGACCATCCCTGCAATAACCCATCACTGGTTGGTTCCCTTTGACCCTGGCAGCCACCTTGGGAACCATGATTTTCCCTCTCAAGGGCTTTTTTTTAAAGCCCTTTGTAGGTCTGAATCCTGGTTTTCTGATTCAGTCACCCTCCACCTCAGTCAGGACCATTTAGTGTGCTCTCCCCCTAAGACCTGCAACCTCCTATCCTGGGTTTTCCTACCGAAGAACTTCCCAGGATTAGAAGATCCCAAAGGCTGGGTTGGTAACTGGGTTTTATTCTTCCATCAGAACCAATGCCCAGTCCCCCTCAGAATGGTCACATGAATTCCCTTTCAGTGGCCTATAAAGGTAAACCCAAGTGTGGATTTTCTGATTCTCTTCCTCAGAACCTCCCGACACACGTGTGACACACCACCCTATCTCTAACCGTGATGTCACCCTGAGGTGCTGGGCTCTGGGCTTCTACCCTGCGGAGATCACCCTGACCTGGCAGCGGGATGGGGAAGACCTGACTCAGGACACAGAGCTTGTGGAGACCAGACCTGCAGGAGATGGAACCTTCCAGAAGTGGGCGGCTGTGGTGGTGCCTTCTGGAGAGGAGCAGACATACACATGCCATGTGCAGCATGAGGGACTGCCCAAACCCATCACCGAGAGATGGGGTAAGGAGGGTTTGGGGTTGAGCCTCTTCTCAGGGAAAGCAAAAGGCCTTCTGGAGAAGTTCAGCAGGGTCAGGACACTTACCAGAGCTCTGGACCCCTCTCTTTCCCTCCATTTCCAGAGCCACCTCCTCCTACCAACCCCATCACATGGATCAGTGGTGGTCTGATTCTCCTGGTCATTGCAGTGATTGCAGTGATTGGAGTTGGAGCTGTGATCTGCTGGAAGATGTGCTCAGGTAGGGAATGGAGTGAGGGGATCTCGGATTTCTTGTCCCTCGGTGTGGGGGGGTTCCTAGGTAGGAGACTGTCCTGCCTTGTTACTGGGAAGTACCATCCTCACACATGGACTTGCCCACTCTGGAGCTGATCACTATACTCAGTGTGTAGCAAACACTTTGTAAAATGAAGGACACATTTTTATCTTGTTAATTCTGGTGATGGAGACCTGATGCCCAGCAGTCACAGGACAGAAAGGAAGGTCTCTGTGACCCCAGACCCAGTGACCCCACATGTTGTTCTTCATGTTTAATGATCATGTCCTGGGTGTTCAGCCAGAATTCTGCAAACTTCATTTAGAACCAGGGCCAGAAGCTTCCTCTAGGATCTCATGGCCTGGGCCTGTTCCAGGCCTCTGACATGATTATTTTCTTTCCACAGGAAGAAGAAGACTAGGCTACTCTCATGCTGCAGGTAAATATGGAGGGGGTGATGCCTGAGACCCTGGGATAGCGTAGACAGGACCCCATGGGGAGCCCACTCACCCCATAGCTCCTCCTTCAGTCTCTTGACCTATGGTTTCTGACTATATCCTGTTTGTTCTCTCCTAGGCGATGAAAGTGCCCAGGGCTCTAATGTGTCTCTCACGGCTCCTAAAGGTGAGACCCTGGAGACCCTGAAGTGGGTGATAAGACAGGGAGAAATACTGTTCTGATCCTTAGGACATTTTTCAAATCTGGAAAATCTCAGCTTGGTTTCTCAGTTTCACGACCTTAATAGACAGGAAATGATGCCCAGAGCTTATTCATGCAAGGAGCCTGAGAAACACTGCCTCTCTGAAAATATGGGAAACTAAGTTCATATCCCCAGAAAAGGGTGAAACATATTAAAATCTTCTCTATTTTCAAGTACAAGAGTATTCTAAGGAAATTTGCCTTTGAGACAGCAGAAAGTGAGCAAACAATTATTGCAAAAAAATTGCAATCACAGACTAACCCTTTTGTGATTTGTAGTCAAAATTTTATTTTTTTTTTTTACCATTTTGGGGCAAAATAACTTCAAGTCATTAGTTTAGTTTATAACTGTCCTGGATTGGTGATGATCCAAAAATTGTAAGAAAGAAACAAATTCAGGACAGCCGACTGGCTCAGTTGGTAGAGCAGGTGACTCTTGAATATGAGGTCCTGAGTTCAAGCCCCATGTTGGACATATAGCTTACTAAAAATAAACAAAAAAAAATGAGTAAGTTTTTTAAAAAGAAATCCTTTAAAAGAGAAAGAAGCAGGAGCACCTGGGGGCCTCAGTCATTTAAGTGTCCAACTCTTGGATTTGACTCAGGTCATGATCTCATGGGTCCTGAGATGGAGCCCATTGTAGGGCTCTGCTCAGCAGGAAGTTAGCTTGAGATTCTCTCCCATTGTCCCTCTTTCCCTCTCTCTCTCTCAAATAAATAAATAAATCTTTAAAAAAGGGAAAGAAACAAATTCTCTACAGAAATCTGTATTTAACCTGTGTATCAAAAATTTACACAAATAATTACAGAAAGAAAAAGATAAAAATTAAATGGAAAAAATACGTGAGTGAATCATTTTAGAAAGAATAGGTAGTATAAAGAAGCTCATAAAATTCAGTATTGGAATCATAAGACATAAACTATAACATAACCAGGATATCACATAAATATAGAAATATATATTATTGAATATACATTTTGGATGTGATATAAAGAAAAAAATCACAAAATTGAAAATGTAGAAAAATGGTGAAAGCAAAAGCATCTCTTAAAAAAAAAACTACAAAGGGATGACTGGGTGTCTTAGTCAGTTAAGTGTCTGCCTTTGGCTCATTTCATGGTCCCAGAGTCTGGGATCCTCTTCTAGTAGGAAGAGGCAGACTATCCACCATAGGCAGAAAATGAGGGAGGAGTTAGGTCAGAAAGTCCTAAATGCTATGAGAAAATGCAGAAGGTAGGTGATCCAGAGTTGTGGTGTGGGGACAGGAAAGATGGCTTTTGTTTTTTAAAATATATATGGGAACGTAATACATGAACAAAGAAACTTTTAAAATTTAAAAAAAAATTTTTAAACTTTTATGCTTTTATTTAAAGTATAATTTTATATAGACTGTTATATTAATATCAGGTAAACAATATAGTGATTTAGCAATGCTATACATTTCTCAGTGCTCACTATAACAAGTGTCCTCTTAATCCCCTTCATACCTTTCACCCCTCTCCCCAGCCACCTCCCCTCAACCACCAGTTCTCTGTATTTAAGAGTCTGTTCTTTTGGATGTCTCTTTTTCTTTTGTTCATCTGTTTCGCTTCTTAAGTTTCAGATATGAATGAAATCGTATGATATTTGTCTTTCTCTGACTTATTTTAATTAGCATAACACTGTCCAGCTCCATTTGTGTTATTGCAAATGGCCAAATTTCGTTCTTTTTGATGGCTGAATAATATTCCACTGTGTATATATGCCACCACATCTTCTTTATGCATTCAACTATTGGTGGACACTTGGGTTGCTTTTTTATTGTTGTAAATAATGCTGCAGTAAACATAGGGGTGCAGGTATCTTTTCAAGTTAGTGTTTTCATTTTCTTTGAGTAAATACCCAATAATAGGATTACTAGGTCGTATGATAATTTTAGTTTTAACTCCTTGAGGAACCTCCACACTGTTTTCCATAGCGCCTGCACCAATTTACATTCCCACCAACTGTGCATGAGAGTTCCTTTTCTCCATATCACCTCCACACTTGTTATTTCTTGCATTGTTGGTTTTAGCCATTCTGACAGGTGTAAGTAATAGCTCATTGTGGTTTTGATTTGTATTTCCCTGATGATGAGTGATATTGAGCATCTTTTCATGTGTCTGTTGACTGTCTTTATTTTTTAGAACAATATCTTCTATCAAAAGATGGCTGTTTTCACTTGGGGGCTCACTGTAGGTGTCCTTGAAAAGGTGAGCTTTGAGAAAAGATTTGATGGACCCAGGAATTATCCATGAGATTGTCTGGGACAAGATTTTCCAGACAGGGGATATTCCAGTGTGAATGCATGAGGGCAGGTGTGTCTGGGTGTTCTGGGAAGAGAAGGGAGGCCAGTATGGCTGGAGTAGAGAGTAACCAAGATGAGATACAGGCATGGCCAGACACTGTAAGTTTAGAGGATGTCAAGCTTTGCTTGAGTGTGCTTTGCTCTGATGGGAATTACAATACGGTTTGAGCAAAAGAGGGACATGGTACAACTTGTCCTTTGAAAGGATCACTTTGTCTGCAGTGTTAGGAACAGAATGGGAGGAAGGGGGCAGCTGAGGCACTGGGGAGAGCAGTAGGAAACTGGTACAATGTTCCAGGCTGGAGATATCTGTTCTTTCCACTGGGGTGTGAGCAGTGGAAAGAGTGGGAGGTTATGGGATTCTGGATACAATCTGTAGATGGGCTTTTCAGCACAATCTTGGGTATGAGAAAGAGGAGTCAAGGAGGACCCCCCAAATTCTGGACTATGCAAGTGGAAAGATGGAGCTGCTGTCAGCAGAGATGAGGAAGACTCTGGAAGGAGCATTTTTGAGGAGGGGGCGTTACAAGCATTCCATGAAGATATGAAGAGCTGAGATATCTGTTAGAAATGTCAGTGAAGGAGTTGGCTTGGCCATCAGAGAAATGTGGATGAGGGTGGAATTTAGGAGAAAGGTCTGAGCTGGAGAAATAGATTTTGGAGTGACACCATGTAAATGATGTTTAGTCTTTAGCATAGATGAAGTCACCAAGGGGGCAAGGGCCGTAGAAGAGAAAGGGACAAGGACCAAACCCTGGACCCCCCCGGTGCTAAGAGATCTGATCAGACCATACACTCAGAGCAGTCTGCACAGTCCTGGCTCCACGCATAGACCAGGGAGTCCCAAACCTCCCTGTTCAGAGAATTCCCAGACATCCTATTAAGGCTCACAAAGTGTGGAGTAGAGTATGAGATTCTGTATTTTCCAAAGGTGTGGCTGCTGCTAGTCTTCCCGTCGCACTTTTAGCAGCAGGAATGTAGATTGGGATTCCCTGTGGTTGCGCCTCAACCTTGCTCGTAGGGCTTGTTAAATAGGTGATTCCCTAACCTTGTGCCAAATACTCAGTCTATGGGTCTGGGGAGAGGCCCGTGTGTTCTGAGAATCCCCGCGAGCGAGTCTGGTGCTCAGCCGGATCTGGAGCTGCTGAGGTTGGAGAGGAGAGAAGGCAGGGTGGGGTTTTAAATCACATTTAAATGGGGGTTTTTCCCTGCCTTGGAGAGAAAAGGGAGGATTTTTTTTTGTCAATATGACATGTGATGTGAGATACATGTCATTTTCTTACCTTGAGGTGTATATAGTCAGGTGGGAGGAGTGGAAGTGGTTCTTAGTTTAGTGTAAGAAACATCTCTGAATGCTTACTCCCTGGAACTATTCCCCTAATCAACTTTTTGGAGCAAACAATGGAATCTAACTTTTTTCTGTTTTGATATTATGTTGGGGATGGCCACAGAATAGGCTTGAGGCTACAGAGGCAGGAATGGGATATACCGTCCTACTGTAGGTTGAAGCCACACAGGAACTGCTACAACCAGAGTGAGGCCAATCCAGTGAGGCTGGCTAGACCGCAGGTCACAAGTCTCCCCATTTCCCACCGGCCGGCCGGGTCTCCCTGGCTCTGGTTTGGAGCTTCATCTGGAGGCCTCAGAACCCATCGGGAGTCTCCACCCAGGGAATTCGCTCTGTTGTACCTTTGGAAACTGGCTGTGACCAGTCACCACCCAGCAGTGTGGAGCGGAGGGGAGTGGGGAGGCTGTGTGGTTGGGGCTGCCTCTGGGGCAAGGCCAGGGTCTCACTTTCCGGTTGACCTACAGTTGAACTGTGGGGTCGCAAGGGCCTCTCCTTGGTGGACACAGGCAGTTGGTCGATGACAGCGCAGATTATCTCTCCCTGAAGAAGACCTGTGCTCTTGGACTGTGGTGGACACAGTGGCTCAGATCACCGGGCAGGTGCAACAGAGCGTGAGAGGAACTACGTGGAGGGCAGGTGCGTGGAGTGGCCCCGCAGGTGCCTGGAGAACCAGAAGGAGACACTGCAGTGCACAGTTAGGAGACACCTGAGCACTTCCCAGATCTCTGCACAGCCTGGGGCTGCGCTCCCATAAGGAGGGGGGGGGAATGGAATAGATTCCCGAATACCTGCTGCCTCTCCCAGGGCTCAGGAGACAGGGGATTAATTCAATCTTGGCTCTTCAGATCCTCTACAGGAAGAGTGACTGGTCTAGGGGACCAGCCCTTCTCTCAGAAACTATTAAGGGATCCAGTCTGCCAGGGATGGAAGGGGGGAACCATCCATGCAATAACCAACTAGCAGTACCTTCTGATTCACTGTCAGTGGCTTTGAGAACTGTGAGGGACTTTCTCACTCAGTCCTTGAGAGGAAGGAGCATATGTGAGAAGGGGCACCACAGACTTTCGGTTTAAGAGATGTTTAAGCTGAGGGGTGCCTGGGTGACTTATTAAGCCTGGATCTCTTGATTTCAACTCAGGTCATGATCTCAGGTTTGTGAGATTGAGCCCCTCATCCAACACCTCACTGAGCATGGAGTGTGCTTAAGATTCTCTGTCCCTTGGGTCTCCTGGGACAGAGACCATTTGGTCTGGTCCATTCAGGTCTGCCTGGCTCAGGTCATGATCCCGGGGTCCTGGGATCCAGCCCCACCTCAGGCTCCTTGCTCAGTGGGGAGCCTGCTTGTGCTCTCTCTCCCTCTGTCAAATAAATAAATAAAATCTTTAAAAAGAAAAGATTCTCTCTCCCTCTCCCTCTCTGCTCCTCCCCGCAGCTTGCACACACACATGCTCTTTATCTCAAAAAAGAAAAAAAGAGAGAGACATGCTTAATCTGAGATGTCATTTAGAAATGTGGTTGAGGGGTGCCTGGGTGGCTCAGATGGTTAAGCATCTGCCTTCCGCTCAGGTCATGATCCTAGGGTCCTGGGATCGAGTCCCACATCAGACTCCCTGCCCACATCAGACTCCCTGCTTTTCCCTCTGCCTCTGCCTCTCTCTCTCTCTGTCTCTCATGAATAAATAAATAAAAATCTTAAAAAAAAAAAAAAGAAATGCAGTTGAGGTTGTCAGGTTGACAGTTGTGTTACCCACAACTGGGTTCACCTCCTGTTGGGTTCAAAGCAAAAACTCAATGAAGCCAAAGAATAGGAAAATGAAGGGTTCTACCGACAAGTAAAGGAAAACACCAGGGTATTTCCCAAAACACTGTCTCCCTGAACAGCAAACTGGGGAAGTTTTCAGTTGAGGGTGCTAATGTCATGACTCCTCTGATGCAGGACACCTGAGCCTTGGTCGGAACTGTTGTCTCTGCTGCTCCTGACACCTGGGTGACACTCATGCCACTCAAGCCGAAATGTCTCTGCACAGATTTAGCACCAGATTTGGGAGCCCATGGCTGCCACATCCCATCAGTCCTGCCTCCAAGCAAGTGAAGATATTAAAAATACTTTTGCCAGAGGAGAAATGAAAAATATTGAGTTCTAAAAATATCTGTTGAAAATGAGACACTTGTGATTGCATCATGTAGTCTGCCTTCCAGTTCCTGGGGTAAGGATTATGATTCCTTTGTTTTACCCCTCCTGGAGGACAAACAGCCGTGCTACATAGTGTTCAGTTTAAACTCTCAGAATGCCCAAGGATATGAGTGGATATTCACTGCCTGGTCTCCAGAACATTCTCGTGATCATCAAAATATGTTGTATGTAGGAACTAGTGCAACTCTGAAAAAGGAGTTTGGAGGGGGCCACGTTACAGATGAAGTGTTTGGAACAGTAAAGGAAGATGCATCATTACACAGATATAAAAAACACAATCTTCTGTCACAATCTTCTCCTGCCCCATTGACTGCAGCTGAGGAAGAATCACGACAGATTAAAATTAATGAGGCACAAACTGACATGGGTGTGGACACGAAGCATCAAACACTACAAGGAGTAACATTTCCTATTTCTTGAGAAGCTTTTCAAGCTTTGGAAACATTAAGTAACAGCTCAACTATGTGCAATTGGAAATAGATATGAAAGATGAAATTATAATTTTGGTCAACACAACAAAGACAGAACTGAAAGACTTGCCAAGGAGGAGTCCCAAGGATTCAGCACGCTACCATTTCTTCCTGTGGGAAGATTCTCATGAAGGAGACGATTTGAAGTCTGTAGTTTTTATTTATTCAATGCTGGGATACACATGCAGTAAAGAGAATGGAAGCTGTATTCTAGCTGCGAGAGCTCTCTGCTTGAAACTGTTGAAAGACAACTACAAATGGATGTAATTAGAAAAATTGAGATAGGGTGCTTGGGTGGCTCAGTCCAGAGAGCATTTGAGTCTTGATTTCAGCTCAGGTCATGATCTCAGGGTCCTGAGATTGAGCCCTGCATCAGGCTCCCCACTCAGCATGGAGTGTGCTGGAGAATCTGTCTCCCACTCACTCTGCCTTATCCATGCTTGTGCTCACTCTTTAAATAAATAAATAAAGTCTTAAAAAGAAAAAGGAAAGAAATTCAAACAAGGTGGCAGTTGGATAGTGCAGGGGAGGAGAAATATCTGGGTTGGAGAAATAGATTTGGGAAGTGACAGCATATACATATGATTAGAGCCTTCAGCAGAGATTAGGTCACCAAGAGGGTGAGAACCATAGAAGAGAAATGAATAGGACCAATCCCCGGACTGCTCAGGGCTAAGCAGGCTGACCAGAGCACACACCCAGAGTGCACTGCACAGTCTGGCTCTGCATCTAGAAGGCACAGAGACCGGGGATACCTGCCTTCATTGTGCATGGGAATTTCCTGGACTATGAAGATCTAGACAGGGATAGAGCATGAGATGCTAGGTTGATAACAGGGTTGATGCTGCTGCTGCTGGTTTTCAGATCCCATACTGGTAGTGAGCACAGGAAGCAGGATCCCTACATGGCCCGGCATCAGCCTCTCCTGTAGGGCTTATCACATCAGTGATTCCTGGGCCCATGCCCAACATTCTAAGGTGGTGGATCTGTGGAGAGACCTGAGTATTTGGTAAGAAAGTCACAAGTCATCCCGTGGTTCCACAGATAGGGAAGCGCTGAAGTCCTTGAGGAGAGCACTCGTTGTGGGAAGACGTCTTACAGACACATTTATTGTTTTTTTTTTTGGAGGAAGAAAAATGCAAGGTAAGCTGGGAGATACATATTTTCTCCTCTGTGGGGCACAGCCAGGTGGTAGATGAAGTCATCATCAGCTGAACATAAAGAAAAAGTCTGATTGCTAAAAAGAAGTCCTTAAAGTTCCCACCACACACACACACACACACACACACACACACACACACACACACACACGTAAATGACACGATGCAGGTCTTAGCTGTTATAGTGGTAATCAGTTTGCAGTATATAAATATATCAAATCAAAAGGTTGTGCCCTTAACTTTATAAAATGTTATTTCAACTATATCTCAATAAAACTGGAAAACAATTCTGAATCCATGTTCTTCAAAAGTATTCCTTCATGGATTTATCACTCCTTGTTTTCAACAACAGAATCCAAGTTGTTTTAATTGAAACTATATATATTTATATGGAAATATATATGTACATATGTATAGTCAAGGAGAATCATATATATAAATTTTAATATATAATACAAAATATAAATTACATATAATAAAATAAATAATATATTTTAAGATTAAAGTAATATTAAATATTAAATATAAATTATATTTTTATATTATGAACATATATATTTATAGGGAAACATATACATATATAATGTTAGAGAGTATTGGGCCTCATTTTATAACAGGTAGATAGTTAACAAATCATTCTGAACATTTGTGGAATCCACTGGATATCCGAGAAAGAATTACTACAAGTCTACACATAGAAAAATTATCACTTTTTGAGGCAATACATGGGAAGGTAAACCACTGGGGGAGCGAGCCTCCATCAGCTGGCTAATGGAAAGTGATATATCAGTAGATCGAAAATCAGAACTTTCAGAAAAGTCTGCTCTGATGAGGGACATCCCTGCTTGAAAGGTACTCAGGGAGCAAAGATGGGTGGAATCCCAGGTGGGACAATGTGGCCTCAGGATCTCAGGGACACAGAAAGAATGGGGGTGCCTGAGTGGAGCAGAGTTCCCAGATATTGAACTGGGAAGCCCACTGCACTCAGCAAGCCCAGGAATGTTGTCATAAAACACCCACCTGGGCACAGTCAGGTGATCGCTGTCTGAGCAGGGGTCCAGCAAGCAGCAGGACCAATGAGACCAGCCTCCCTTCCCTGGGAGGAGCAGCGCCGGTGTGCTCTATAAGGATCTGTAAAGTTTGGAGGCACAAAACAAGGTCATATGCCTGATGTAGAAATGACTAGTCACAGGCTGGGTGAACACAGAGTTCCGATGGAAACCAGGGAGATAAGAATGACAGACTGCTTTTCTGTGAGAACTCACTGAAGAGTAGGGGACAGGAAATTTCAGCTCCAGATCTAGGCATTGCAGGGCCTCCACTTATACCCCCACATCGGCTCCAGAACTGCTTATACTGAGCCCTGGCCCCCTGGCAAAGGGGGGATGCAATTTTGTCTGGGGAAAGACACCTGAGAATCAGTGCAATAGACCCCTCCCCTAGAACACCAGCAGGAACTTCTGGTGAATACCGGGTTTATTGATCATACAGAACTGCAAAACTCCAGCTCTTGGGGAAAGAAATCTATACCATCTGTGGTTTTTTCCCTTATTCTTTAGTCCTTCAGTTTTATATTTTATTTCCCTTTCAGCTATTTTCTTACCAATTGTATTTTTAAGTCTTTTT